TTGTTTATTTTTAGGGCTTTTGCAGTTATTACCAAACGGAAAACAATAATCATTCGTTTATATAACAGGGTTAGCACACATACTTCAGTACCAACGTGAAAAAGTGAACAGTTAACCTAATGAACCATTCCGTGCTATCTATAAAGCAGCAATAATCTATAAAGCATTGATTTTACGACCGTCATTTCTTAGCCCGAGCCCCGTAATGTCACATTAGCGAACAAAATTGTGTCAGATTGTTGCAGCGAACGCGTTTCAGCGTTTTATTGACTCTGACAGACAGAATGAGAAAGAGATTTTTACTTTGCATCATTTACAACCGAGGCGTTACATTGAATCTAGCGAATTATTGGACATTTTAAAAATTTAAGTGCACCACTATGTAGCATGGACTTTATTCATAATAGAACTACGTGGTCGATAATGCGTTGAACAAAATTCGTCGCCTGAACGTTTTCCAGGCTTGATTTGTTGATCTTTAAATTAATGTTGTTCGTAAATTAAGAATGAAAATATGCCTCGAAATTTAGGACGGTGTCAAGTCATTCACCGTTTGAATTTTTGAAACATCTTGTCTCTGTTTGTTATGTTTAATGAATAGAGTAATGGGTTGGCGCGTTTTTGGCAGAATTTGCCAGGGGTGTTGGAATAAAGCAGGTCGTTCGTTGTATTCATTTATACAAATGATAAATCCTTTGTGCTGGCGGCTGACGGTACTCCCGAAAATTAAGGTAATTAAATATAAGAATCCCTCAGGAGAATAACGAAATGTAAGTAAACAAGAGAATGACAGTGGCATAAATTGCTAGCAGGAATTTGGTTTTCTTCTGTCTACCTCTCTAATTTCCTTGCGTTCTGATGCGCGGCGCTGTGTCTCTCTATTTGCATACCAACTATTTCAGTTGATACCCTTAATGACTTCCAATTGAATAGAATCTTTTTGTTTCGTATTTATTAAAAAGTAATAGTCGACACGTAGCCAAGCAGAACGAAAAGGCCATCGTGGTCAATGGTCAGACGTGAACTATGATTTCGAATTCGTTGGATCTCGTCAGCACGCCGTCGACAGTCTGACAAAGTACAGATCAACTCTAATATTTACTGCCTTTAGACAGCGTTTAATAATGACCACTATCAATTTCAATTTTATAAATGAACCGACTAAACAGAAACTGATCAATGCAAGGAACTTGATTTATATCAAATGATTGGTTTACATATTTATTGATAACTCTATTATCTCACAGTGTTTAACCAAAAGTGTCTACGTGCCCATTTCTTGGCCAATAATTTCGTAATCCTTACTTTAGTTGACTTCCTTAAGCGTCCTCTCTATAAAGTATTTAAGTGTCTACAGATTTATATAGTGAGACAAAGGATATCTCATAATATAATAAGACCTTTTCAAACAATATGAAACAATAATTAGCATTAAAGACTTTCANTCCCACTGCCCACCTTCACCACCCACCAACCACTACGAATCACTCACTTCCCACCACCCACCTTCACCACCCACCAACCACTACGAATCACTCATTTCCCACCGCCCACCTTCACCACCGACCAATCACTACGGATCACTCACTGGACACCACCCATCAACTACCACCCACTGCCCACCACCCACCAACTACCACCCACTGCCCATCACCCACCAACTACCACCCACCACCTAATATCCACCCCTCATTGTCCATCACCCACCAATCGTCCCTCATTGTCTGTCCCTCACCGCCTCCACACACCTTCACCACTTACGAATCTTAAAAATCGAGAACTAAAGAGGACTTTGGTCTTCCCTAAGACTTCAATCGAACGTCGTAGATCACCGAATAAAAAGGACAGTCAGAGGATTTACGGTTGTTTACAAAGTTCGCCATTGGTCAGACCTTGGAAACAATCAATCTTGCCCGAGATAACAGTAACAGCTTCACGTGTTGTACTTAAAGCGTTCCGTTTCGATGATAACTGTGTCAAATTGAATTTACCGTTAACTGGGGCATTGCTAAAACCGATCCTCATAATTTTAGTGTCAAGGGTCGCGAAGGTGCTCACATAAAAATGTAGTATATCGAATAAACCTCAAAAAGTTCTAGCAATAAGTAGTAAACATGTAATAACATGTTGTCTGGTTCAATTTTCGTGACCTACTTTGGACGCTATTATTCTAGATGATACTTTTTAACCTTTACAAGTGAACAACTTTACGAGTTTCACTATTAAAGCACGCAACCAGAATGCCAAATTGACGAAAACAAGCAAAATAAGAGTACCTATTTATATTTAAAAAGGTTCATAATGCACTTTGGTTATAAAATCAGGTTTATAGACTCTGTAACTATCATGCCATTTATTTCTTAATTAAAATCATGGAGTTAAATAAACCATTTTTCGAAAATATTCTTGTTTGATCATACAACTATTGACAACTATTATAAATGTAGATAGAAGCAAAACTTCTGAGACTTCCGTAGAACTCCACGATGGTGAAGGAGTGGGGAGAGTATAGATCATCAATTGGAGACTTTTAGATTTCAAAATAGTATCAAAAAACAGTAATAGGAGCTAGTATATTTATTGTTCTTCTATAAAGGCAACAGTGACTTAAGGATTTACTATATGTTGTATATTGTTGGAAGATTATTATATACTTTAAGATTTCATCAAAGTTTGGCGATTGGAACGGCCAAAGTATGTCACTGAATATAAGAGCCGATCCAATCTTTGCTGTTTATAGGATTTGCAAACTTTTTAGATGTCGTTCTCGAGAATTTTCATGATTATAGTATGGCATTTTCTGGTCGTTTAGGTAATCGCTTTATGGAAATGAGTCTCATCACTGAACGTTATGTTTTCGAGTGTTCGCCAAAGTCCAAAAGCGTAGCAACATCATTCTGACGTTTGCCTCTGGTAAGACATAATCACCGCCACTTAATTTTTGCACAATTTACATTTTTAAAGGATGAATCTTTAACTTTCTTCTCAAAACTGATTTTCTGATGCATGCAGTGACTGCAGTCTTCCTTTTTGAGTTTCTTGGATTTATGGAGTTCTTTGTCGCATCTGAATCACATTTTCTAGCGTCACCATTGCCGTTTGTAGGTATTAATAGAGTTATTGTTGTTATTACTTTGCTGTGATTCTTTACTTTCAATGTGTAGGTGTCCACAAAGGGTCTTGTTGTATTTCAAACAATAGATCGTGTTTAAACGTTTGCCTTTTATAAACCCATCCTAATTATGACAGGCGATTGTCTAGGGATTAATTCGGATAATGCCGGTTGACCTCCTGGAGCCACGAGTTTCCTCCTACGAACAGAACAATAAGGGAAAAGCGTGATTCGAACGTCAGGGAAACGCACCATAACCACACCGTCGCGACGCCAGAAATGTCTATGCAAATAACGTCGGTGAAATCTTATAGCAAACTGGCATGAATGATTGATGAAAATCGAGCTTAGTGGCTATCAAACGGAGAAAACGATCCCTAATTTCAAAAGGGTTAGGACAATTTCGATTGTAGGTTTTATACGCATTGGATTTATGGAGTTTATTGTCAAAAAAAAAAGTAAATTTCATTGTAGAATCATGTAAAGTTTTGGTCGATGCTGAAAAATAAATCTAATATCAAGTAATATAAGTGTGTCCAGTGAAAACCTTTTTGACTGATTGTAAAATATTAGATAATGAAAAGTAAAATTGATTTTGATAAAAATCTTAAACAAACGCAAAATTGAGACGATGTAGACGTTCACATAACTGGAGCAAGGAGAAGGAAATACGAAGAAAATTGCAATGAATGACGATGACAATACAAAGATTTATGAGTGTATTTGTATTTGTGCTTGCGTATGTCATTGACATACATCGAATGCGACCCTTTCGCAACGAAATGTTGGATTAAATTATATCTGTCGCTTACCATCCTTGCAATGCTTGCAGCCCAACGCCATTGACGTTATTTACAGTGGAGGAGCGTGGATATAAGAGTGGCAGACGATTCAACCGTAAAAATATGACGTATCGATCATATTCTGGAGTTGCAGTCATCGAAGAAATGATTTATTGTAGATGAAGCTAAAGACATCGTCGTCCTTTATACGCCAGTTGCGAATGCATTCAGCAGCGAGCTTAATCACGTCACGTCGCCGTCGGTGAATTTTAAAACTTTTCTCGGAACACTTGCCGATTGATTTATCAATTTAGATGCCATTTTGCAAAGTGGATATTTCACGTGTACACCAAATGCAATTCCTGCGATCCGAATCAAAAATAAGTGACGAAAAGCTTTTACACTTCACCAATACAAATCTTGAGTTGGATGGAAAGATCTACGTTTCATTTTGTTTTGGGTAAAAAACTTAATAAAACACAAACCATTCTTGACGTAAAACAAATCATGCACGTTTTGACAGCGTTCTGAGGTTCTTTGTTGTTCTTAGCATGACGTAATCATGCCTTCGATTGTTGAAAGAGACAGAAATCACTGGGTGTATGATCTGTGCTATACGGTGGATAATTGAAACCATCCCGATACAATTGACTGAAAAGACCTGTCATAATGTAGACATAGTTTGCTCCTATTGTCATGGATGAAAATCACAACCAAATACTCCAAATTTTCACCTTTGCTTTGCCAGCAACGAAGTACTTTAGAACGCTGTCAGAACAAACGTAATCTCAATTAGGATACTCATATTTAAGTGTCAAAATCACTTTTTTTATATGTCTGTGATTCATAAGAAGTTTTACTTCGGTTACCTACAATTTTTAACGGTTCAATATGAGTTCACCAAAAGACCGACATAGGGGTCACCTCCTTTGCTAGAAATAGTTTTTCTTGCTATAAGTAGGTAGTAAAGACATGGTCACTGGACTACTCATGTCGTATGCAAGATACAAAAAATATTTTCCAGATGTGAATTCCACTGTACAGGTCTCCATGTATTTGATAATTACAAACGGAAATTAGGAAAAGATGATACTGTGTTAACTTACCGGAACAAGCTTGTGGTGGCAGAGGGAAGATGAGGGTGGTCGAGGACTTCCTTCTGGCTACGGCGCAACCAAGTGATTGTGGTTTGAAGGAGCGCAGTTGCTGCATGAAGTCGGAACACTCCATAAGGGCGACGTCAGCGAAGTGCAGGTCGCACAGGATCTGGTTTTTGAAGCGACGAGCTCGCTTCTGGTTTGGACCCGTCAGGTTCAGACCGCAGCTGTTGCACCGCAGGCATTCCTCGTGATAGTGGTTGTTATCGTACAGCGGTGACGGCTCTGCGCAAATATCATTAGAAACAGATGAACGTTTTCGTGGTCGGGATTAATAGACGTGGAATTAGCTGGCTCGCATGTATATGACATAGACATAGGAACATATGGACAGAGCCTAAGTGTTATCTTAAGGGTCTAGAGTGAAGTCTTTGAGGAATAGGTAGGCAGTTTCCATATCGTGGTGCCAAGATTCTGTAGCTTGCATCTCTCCACCATCAGCAAGTTTCTGACCTACTATGCGTGCGAATTTTGGGTAGTGTCTTGTCATTTCCGTATCGATACGTTTTGCTGTGGTATGGATCGTCCTGTTTGAACACGTTTGGCATTTACAATTTAGGCTCGTTCAATCGGGACAAACCATAGAACACAACAATATCAATACGAAAATACTAAAAATGGCGCAGTAAACGCCATCTGTAGCACGATGCTACATTTTAGGATTACGTATGCTCCAACAAGGTCCACTTGTGTGGATACCTACTTGTTGAAAACGAATCCCGGCGTAGCCAACCTCAACGTGATAGGCACGTTAGCTTAATCGAATAAAATAATTCGAAGTGGTCTGTATTCTGTCGAAACTGCCAGACGCGGATCGCGATTTCGATCTTTTTGGATCTCATCAGCGCGTCGCAGGCAGCTCCGACAGAACACAGACCAACTTTTACCTGCTGTCTTAACAGTGCGTTTTAGAAAATACTACAAATGGCGCAGTAAACGCCATCTGTAGCACGATGCTACATTTTAGGATTACGTATGCTCCAACAAGGTCCACTTGTGTGGATATCTACTTGCTGAAAACGAATCCCGGCGTAGCCAACCTCAACGTGATAGGCACGTTAGCTTAATCGAATAAAATACAGACCACTTCGAATTATTTTATTCGTGCCCAACACGTTGAGGTTAGCTACGCCGGGATCCGTTTCAGCAAGTAGATATCCATATTTTTAAATGGACCTTGTTGGAGCATACGTAATCCTTAAATGTATCATCGTACTACAGATGGCGTTTACCGCGCCATTTGTGGTATTTTCTAAAACGCGCTGTTAAGACAGCAGGTAAAGGTTGGTCTGTGTTCTGCCGGAGCTGTCTGTGACACGCTGATGAGATCCAAAAAGATCGAAATCGCGATCGGCGTCTGGCAGTTTCGACAGAATACAGACCACTTCGAATAATTTTATTCGAATTATTTTAATATCAGTACGCTTACGAGTAGCCAAAAGAATCTTGGCACCTGCTGGTTGACTTCCTGTTCCCCGCTAATTTATGTTCTTTCCTATATTCCTGTGTCTATGGTATATTGTACAGTAAAACCTAGAAAATTTAAACCTCTGCAACTTTTGCTTCCCTTTCACTTGTCCAGGTTTTACCAATCACTATTGTTTAATGTTTTCCCATATTTTATTGTGAAATTTTGTCAAAAAAGTAAATAGAACCCGGCTCTGTACTTTAGATATAAATGCCAGTTCCACTTCTATTAGTAGGAACACAAACAATTCACAGTTACGTTTTGATTATTAAGAATTGCCATCGTCAGTGTCTTCCCTGTTGTGTATTAATTAAACAGTAACCAACGTGGGGAAACGGCGAGAACTAATAATATTTACCACCAATCGAAAGTCTAATTAAATAAAAATTCTAATTCATCATACATTATTTAACTTTGTTCCAACTTTTAAATTATGTATTAGTTCTTTGTGTTTATTTATAGACTTATTGACTGGTATCGTGACAACCCCATATTAGGTAATCTTCCACAAGGGCCTGTCATAGGCCATTTGCTGTCCCATTTTTACTTTTAATCGACATAATGCATTATAAATCTTTCAAAAACTAAATATCTGTTTATGTGCCTAGGCGCTTTAGAATTTGCATCTTCTGCTGATTGATCCATATCGACCGAAACATTATGTAGTTGTTCTTGTATTGATCATGGAACTAAGCGCCAGATTTATTTTTTCTGGTAGTAAATTATTATACCTAACGATGGCAATTCTGGTTACAAAGTCACTAGCCAAATAAAGATGTAAGCAGGCACATTAAAAAGCGGAATGTAATGTATTGGTATGTAAAGAACATTAATTCGTAGAAATGCAGTGAATAACATCAACGTTCACGTAAAATGTCATTCTTTCACATTAAACATTGTTAGGATTTACGTGCGGGTTTTTATTGATTCGAGTTCGTTAAATAGAACGGGTAGAAACACTTACAAAAGGTACATATAAATGTTATTGGTATTGCGTATACAAATACAAAAGAACAAAGAGGGAAAAATTGTTTTTATCTGAACATTTTGGAATAACTTTTACTTTAGATCTATTTGATGATACAAACCTGTAAGTACCTTTTTTCTGTTCGCGATTATTTATTTTTTAATAAAATGTATTTGGATTTGGAGAGACGTGAAGATTATTCTGGAAGTACAGTTTTCCATCCATAATTTATAATTATTCCGCGAATGAAACTCAATAGCCATTAATGTCTCTTGAGTAAATAATACTGTTCCTACTTAACATTACCTTCGATTCGTCTACAACTTGATGGATTCGCTTTTAAATATAGACAGTTCGGCTTCTTAATTTTTTTAATATAATATCCATCAGTCATGTCAAATTATTCATATATTTCACACCTTAAAGGCAACTATGCCATTAAAAGCCTTCTTATTTTGTAAAGCATTAAGATGGTGGTGTTGAGACTTAATGTTTCTGTGGATACTTGAGATATCCAGAAATTAATAGAGAAACGCTAAAAGAGCGCATGTAGCGTTCGAAGAACATGTACTACATGTACAGTTGTAGAGTCTAGAGAGAGGATAGAGCAACTGCAGCGCTAGATAGGGATACTACTGATGCGAGTGGGGCAATCACCGCGCGTGGCTACGGTCACTACCGCGCGTAGTTGGGGCTAAGGTCTGCCACCGCTAGTAACGCGCAAACAGGACTGTTACTGCGCATGGTTAGTTACCGGGAGTAAGATAGACTACCCACGCGTATATTGGACTAGTCACAAATTCAAACGAATACTTATTGGGAGCTATTTTTAATCAAGGATTTAATTAGATCATTTTTTTAAATCAATTCTTTTCTTTCAATTTACTAGCACGAAAGATTGATGTACGCATGAAGCTGTTCAACATTGTCTAGAATTGACATAGACACTAATTTTTATTACAATAAAAGACATTGCTCCTTGATGTTTGTTTATTTTTAGGGCTTTTGCAGTTATTACCAAACGGAAAACAATAATCATTCGTTTATATAACAGGGTTAGCACACATACTTCAGTACCAACGTGAAAAAGTGAACAGTTAACCTAATGAACCATTCCGTGCTATCTATAAAGCAGCAATAATCTATAAAGCATTGATTTTACGACCGTCATTTCTTAGCCCGAGCCCCGTAATGTCACATTAGCGAACAAAATTGTGTCAGATTGTTGCAGCGAACGCGTTTCAGCGTTTTATTGACTCTGACAGACAGAATGAGAAAGAGATTTTTACTTTGCATCATTTACAACCGAGGCGTTACATTGAATCTAGCGAATTATTGGACATTTTAAAAATTTAAGTGCACCACTATGTAGCATGGACTTTATTCATAATAGAACTACGTGGTCGATAATGCGTTGAACAAAATTCGTCGCCTGAACGTTTTCCAGGCTTGATTTGTTGATCTTTAAATTAATGTTGTTCGTAAATTAAGAATGAAAATATGCCTCGAAATTTAGGACGGTGTCAAGTCATTCACCGTTTGAATTTTTGAAACATCTTGTCTCTGTTTGTTATGTTTAATGAATAGAGTAATGGGTTGGCGCGTTTTTGGCAGAATTTGCCAGGGGTGTTGGAATAAAGCAGGTCGTTCGTTGTATTCATTTATACAAATGATAAATCCTTTGTGCTGGCGGCTGACGGTACTCCCGAAAATTAAGGTAATTAAATATAAGAATCCCTCAGGAGAATAACGAAATGTAAGTAAACAAGAGAATGACAGTGGCATAAATTGCTAGCAGGAATTTGGTTTTCTTCTGTCTACCTCTCTAATTTCCTTGCGTTCTGATGCGCGGCGCTGTGTCTCTCTATTTGCATACCAACTATTTCAGTTGATACCCTTAATGACTTCCAATTGAATAGAATCTTTTTGTTTCGTATTTATTAAAAAGTAATAGTCGACACGTAGCCAAGCAGAACGAAAAGGCCATCGTGGTCAATGGTCAGACGTGAACTATGATTTCGAATTCGTTGGATCTCGTCAGCACGCCGTCGACAGTCTGACAAAGTACAGATCAACTCTAATATTTACTGCCTTTAGACAGCGTTTAATAATGACCACTATCAATTTCAATTTTATAAATGAACCGACTAAACAGAAACTGATCAATGCAAGGAACTTGATTTATATCAAATGATTGGTTTACATATTTATTGATAACTCTATTATCTCACAGTGTTTAACCAAAAGTGTCTACGTGCCCATTTCTTGGCCAATAATTTCGTAATCCTTACTTTAGTTGACTTCCTTAAGCGTCCTCTCTATAAAGTATTTAAGTGTCTACAGATTTATATAGTGAGACAAAGGATATCTCATAATATAATAAGACCTTTTCAAACAATATGAAACAATAATTAGCATTAAAGACTTTCAGATGACGATATTCTACCCATTACTTGATTTTATATATTAATGTTTGAAATAAAATTGAATGCTGATTGATGCACTTGTTAGGAAACTAAACGAATGTCTACAGCTTCCCATTGGGTTTATTACTACGTCTTGGTCAACTCAGATTTCAAGTATAGTTTATTTTTACCTTTGCTATTTCGATTTTCAATTAAAAGCGACCATGTTTCTAGACTAAATATTGTCTTAAGGATTTAACGATAGCTTTCTGGAAATGGCTACTTAGGCGAACTCGTTCTTTCATTAGAACTTCCAAGATCTGAAGACGACCAATTAAGTGCTGAAAGACACTTGGAGTCGTTTCGTTGCTTTCACAATAAAATT